GTAATCCTAGCACCCTGGAAGGCTGAGGCAAGAGGCTTACAAATTTGAGTTTCACTTCAACTATTTAGTGACTTAGTGAAACCCTGTCTCAAAATAAAAAGTAAAAAAAGAGCTGTGAATATAGCTTAGTGTAAAGGTCGTGAGATTAGTCCTCAATAAGACAAACACAATATGCCACACAAACACACACATGCACATGTGTATGTACACATGTACATGTGCAGAAAGAAGAGGAAGAAGAAAGAAAAGCTGGGTTTTTTTGTAGTTGATAGTTGACACTTTGCTACTAAGCACATTATCCTCAAATTTTTTTCTGTTAATTTTACCATACATTGCCAGAGCTCCTTTGCCACAATTAGTACTCTGGTATTAGCCTAATGGTGGTTTTTTGTTTTTTTTTTTTAATCATCTCACTTCATTAGTAATTAGATTCCTGTAAGAAAAAGCTGCCATTTCTCAATCATTTGTCTATTTGATCATGGAAATCAGTGTGGTCTCACAAAACATTCATTTTACTCTGTGGGTTGAAACAGTGTCATCATTGTTTTTTTGCTCAGATGCTTTGAGCTTCGGCCTAGGCTTTGAGTGTGAAGGACTTGTGCCTGGAAGTGGCTGTCAGCATTGCCTTCTCCCCTCACCCCTGAGGTCCAAGGGGCCCCACATTGATTACTCAGGAGCCTGTGTGGAGCTGAGTGTACCTGGGAGGCTAGCAGGAGGGAGGATTATGTGTGTGAAAATAGTTCTATGTACTTCCCAGAAACTGCAGGCGTAAAAGGGCTTTCTAGCCTCAAGGAAGCAAGGACCCTGCGCCTGGGTCACATCATGCCCATTCTGACCCCCGGTGTCAGCAGAATGTCCACAAATAGCATTAGATGTTCTCAGTGCTGAGTGAAGTCTTTTTCCTTCTTCCCCAGTACTCAGTAAATATTTGTAGAAGTTCTCAAGATGCTGCTGAGATTCTCCAAATATAACATTTAGCATTCATGTCATTTAACCTTTTGTTAGAGCTTGCCTTCCTTGTTAGGTTATTATTATTATTGAAAATATCAGGCACCCACAAATGCAGAGAGAATGACTGTCAAGCACCTGTCCCCTATCTTTAATACTTACCAATGTTAGATCTATCTTCTTTCACTTAACCCTTTCCCTTCCCTTGGGATAGAAGGAATTCTTCATATTTGAAAACAAATTGCAGAAGCTAAGATGTGGGGAAAGACTGAAATAAACTCTTACGGACTATACTTTTTTTCCCTTTCTCTCCTTGGTGCTTAACCTGTGCTTAAAAATAGCAGGTAGTTTTCCAAGCATCAACCAGGACTTTCTTGCTCTAAAAATCATTTTCTTTGGAAAAAAAAATTGCTTTTCTAGTTGTAAAAAGGTGCACATACTCATTGAAGAAGTATGGAAATTATGGAGAAATAGAAATTAAAAGTATCTGTATTTCCACCTCATTCCAGAGGTAGCATTATCTTGGCTAATGTTTCCTTGGATACAGTGTAATCAAGGTCCATAATAGTTGTGTTCCTGGAAATGTAGCAGGTGTGTTTGGATGCACGTCATGTCATTAAATTTATATCGCAATGTAACTTAAAGCGTCCTCTCCCCTGCATTTTATTATAAGGGAAATATGCTGAGCTGGGGTGAGTGGGGTTGCCCTGGTCCTGAACTGATGAGCAGGATCGGAGGGTGGGAGAGGGATTGCAAAATGGCCAGGCAGTGCTCTAACCAGTCACATGGTGATGAGGCAGCTGATCTTGAACTCTGTCACCACACTGCCTTTGGCTCTTGGCTGGACACATAGGCTAATAGGGAATAAAGGATTGCTTTTCATTGTCAAGCACTGGGATTAGCAATGAAGACTTAATCATTAAGTAATGATTAACAAGGTTCCTGGGTTTTAGAAAACATGTCTTATCTTTGAACAAATAACATATGTGAAGTTCAGCAATGTTAGTTTATGACTATTCATAGCACTTTACTTCTTGGATAGGTTGTTTTTTGTTTTTTGTTGTTTTTTTTTTGTATTTTAGAGGAGGGTCTACAGGGTGTTCAGGGTCTCACTACTAGATTGGACTCATAGTGATCTGCCTGTTCACAGCCTCCCAAGAGCTGGGATTATAGGCTCCTGCCACCATGTCCAATCTCAATTGCCATCTCAGCATGCCCCGGGGGCAGGGTTTACATAGCAGGCGTGGGGATTGAACCCCCAGCCCCTGTACCTGCTTGCAGGCGCTTTAATCTGCTGAGCTATTTGGCCAGCCCTGGGTAGAATTTTTTTCTCAAAATTTTTTAGAGGTGTTTCACATTCACAGCAAAGTTGAGAAGGTACAGAGATGACCCATGTGTCCCTGCCTAGTTTTTAAATCTGTTTAATATATGCCTCCATCACTGCAATAATTTTATGATTATAAACTTCTTTTTTTAAAAAAATGTGTGTGTGTGTGTGTGGCCAGCTCAGCCCACCAGGGGGCGGGGCTGGCTGGCATGTGGTGCTGGGGGATTGAACCGTGGTCCCTGTGCTTTGCTAAGCTTGTTCTAAGTAGGTGCTTTAGACCACTGAGCCATCTCACCAGCCCTGATTATAAACTTCTTTAACTCGATGAGTTAGCTCTCATAAAAGAAGGTTCCCACTCCAATTTTCCAAGTAATTTTCGTATAAGAGCATTATATGCCAACATTCAAAGCCTCTTGCCATTAAATTCCCCAAAGGTAGGACTGGACGTGGTAGCACACACCTGTAATCTCAGCATGTGGGAGGCTGAGGCAGGAAGACCACTGTGAATTTGGGGCCAGCTTGGGTGACACAGTGAGTTCAAGGCCGGTCTGGGATGTCCAGTGCTTCCTTGTCTCCAAAAGCAAACAAAACCAGACACATCCAGAGAAGGTGATGCAGTGGCTTCCTGCTGTGTGACCGCTCGCTGTCCTCAAGGAGAACGAACCCGGGGTGGGCGGGGAGGTGGGGAGCTAGGGTCAGTGCCAGCGACAGGGACAGGACAGGGACAGAGGAATGAGGCCAGCTGAAGAAGCTGTTATTTCAGTGTATGTGTTCAGTCCCAGGCATCAAGGGGAGAAAAGAGGGAGCAACGGTGGGGAGGGTGTGGCAGGCCCTTGTGGCTGAAGCCTAGGGGCTCAGGCCCCGCTCTCTGGGCTTTAAGGCCTCAGGCAGGTGCCTGGATCTCTCTGAGCCTCTGCCCTTTCAATCTATAACATGAATAGACTACATTTTCCTTTTAAAAAATGTGTCGTATTAGTGCCTGTTACTTTTGAAAACACTGGGTTTCAGTGTGAGGTTTTCATAGATGCCCACGATTGTATCCACTCTAATTACCCTCTCTTACTCATGACTGTCCCTACCCTCTTGTCTTCCTCTTGTCTAATGATAGTTAAGGGAATGAAACTTCTCACCCTACAGAGAACTGAAAGCCTGTGTCTCTCTCAGTTCATGTGTTATGGCACGTGGAGTTAGGGCCTCTGCCAGGCAATTAGGTTAAGGTCGTCAGTGTGGAGCCTCCTTCTTGGGTTTAATATCCTCATAAAAAGATGAAGATACACAAAGGCTCCATCGCAATCTGGGGTGTGTAAGTCTGTGTGTGCGCCTGCATGCACGTGCGTGCTCACACACTGGCACACCAAGGAGAGGCCATGTGATGACATTACCAGTGAGAGGCCCTTCAAAGAACCAAATCTTGCTATATCCCAGTCTTGGCCTTTCAGAAGCCTCTGGAACTTAAGAAACAGCACAAGTGCGCTCCCAGCAAGAGCCCAGGGCCACCCTGCAGGCAGCACGTCAGTGTGTGGGGCCACAGCTGCTAGCCAGGGAGGGGCAAGCAGGGAAGCATCACGCCATGCACATCCGGCTCACCCAGTGTCTCCTGGGGAGGAAAGACAAACATGAGCCAGGCACTGTGACCCGGGCACAACAAGAGGACTGTCCAGCACAGGGAGCTGGGGGTGAGCTCTGCGGGGCAGACCCAGAGACCCCTGGAAGAAAAAGTGCAGACGAGAACTCAGGAAGTTAATGCAAGTGACCTAACCCAGCCCATGATAAGAGTAAGTGCTTTCCTTAGGTGTCACCTCTGCTTTCGCCTTTGACCGGCTGTGATGCTGCACATGGCCCTACATGTGGGCTGCAATGCTTAATTAATTGCCTCTTGTATTGTGCTGTTTGACAACGTTAGCTGATTAACTGCCATTCTGATTTCAGGTTTCAATAGCATGAGGTGGGATAATATGAGTTCAACTCTAAGAAGTGCCTGTGGAATTACGTACTGTCGTTACTGACAAAAACTCAGTTACTATGGCCTCTTAGATGAGGGTCCACCCCTGAGCAAAGCCTAATCTCCATTTCTACATGATAATGTTATATTTAGAGATGTTTTCTAGGTTTCCTTCAAACTAATCTACAACTAAATTTTTGAAATACTACCCTTTAATAAATGTAAAACTATCTTGAGAGTTACTGAGATGCTTTTATTTTTTCTTCTTCCTTTTGGAGACAGGGTCTCACTCTGCAGTTCAGGCTGGCCTTGAACTTACTCTTTATCCAGGCTGGCCTCACACTCCCAGCCGTTCTCTGGCCTTAGCTTCCTGAGCGCGGATATTACAGTCCCATGCCACCACACTTAGTGAGATTGTTTTTGTTTTTATAGTTACCACCTCCTCACTTCTCACTTTAAAAACTTTGCTGTCATTATAAGAGGACAATTTATAAAATTATATGTGTATCATATGCATAAATTTCTTCACTATTGCAATAAAAAAATGTGTACTTTATGAAGTATTTTAGAAAGAGCAGAGATTTATGTAGCTCGCTGTTCTGGTGGTTCCAGGCAGGGAGACTAAGACCCGTGGTGTTGGCATTGGCATTGTTCTGGCAAGGGCCACGTGGCAGATGGCCTCAAAGGGGGTGGCGCGTGTGTGAGGAGCCAGAGCCCATGGCGGGGAGCAACCTGGAGGGGAGGAAGGCCAGCCCACCCCTTCCCCTCTTTCAGGTTCAGGTACGTGCCAGGCCAGAGCGCCACCGCAGATACCTCCCAGCCCTGGGCCCACTGGTATGGAAGAACTAACTCAGAGTCCAGAAGAAACTGCCCGAATTCCTTCCTGGCCTTCTAGGCACTACCAGCCAGGTTTGATATCTTGATCGCAGCACTTCTTAACATCACCACACTGGGGACTGTTTCCAACTCATGAGCTTTTTGGGGAAGGAGCCGCATGTAACCCACTGTAATATGTGATATAAACATATCTATTATAATATAAAACTATATTATTAAAATTTGTAAAGAGCTGGGCAGAGGCGCACCTGCTTGGAATTCCAGTCACTTGGGATCCTAAGGCAGAAGGTTTGAGCCTAGGCGATATGAATGGGATCCTGCCTCAGAACCAAAAAAAAAAAAAAAAAAAAAAAAAGAAAGAAAAAAGAAAAAGAAAAATCCACTTTTTTTTTTGGTGCAGGGTCTCACTACCTAGCCCGCATTAGTAGTGATCCTGCTGATTTCTGCCTCCCAAGTGCTGGGATTACAGGTACGCGCCACCACGCCCAGACTCAAAAAATCCACTTCTAACTAATTATATAAAATTATTGTTTACTTTTGGAATATCGGTTTATTTCTTTATAAACTTACCTTAATTTTGTATCGTTAGTTATAAGTACAGCATGCATAGTTTACTCTTTTTTAATTCACTGAGGATGTCATCATGTTTTCATGTTATTACTTAACATAGAATATGTTTTGGTCTCCATTTTACTTATTTAATTGATGATATAGTTAACTATTGGAATCCTGGAATTAGCATCTTATGTATTTTTCTGTGACGTGTTTATAGAAGTTGAGGAGCTGCACAGCTTTGCTGATATAGAGGGTTTGTCAAAATGTTGCTAGCCATGGCCTGGAGGCCCCTCCAAGTGGCCATCACCCAGTGGCCTTCACCACCCAGCACATTTGCCATGGTCTGGGGTGGCCCCTCATCTAAGTGGCCTTAATAACTGAGTTTTTCTCAATAGGCAATGACAGTAAGTAATGCCATAGACACTTCTCAGAGGTGAATTCATATTGTGCCTTGTGCTATGAAGTCAGAATGACGGTTGATCAACTGATATTGTCAAGCAGCACAATACAGTAGTAGTCCAGGAAGCCACTAGCATGGCCATCCCTAGACTCTGCCCTTTAAGCTAAAGTGAGCAGTAATAGTGATGGTCACCATGTAGCGGATCTGCGCTCTGTGTAGGGAGCTGGGCTCACACTTTATATATCAGTATGTGAGGCCTAGTCTCTCAGTAACTTCTTCAGGTGGGTATTGTTTTTGACTTCATTTTATAGGTAATAAGGCTGAGACTCACTTGAGTGAGTGGCCCAAAGCTATGTGGTGGAGCTATAGTTTCTATGTAATACAAATACCCAATCTTTTATTTTTATTATTATTTCTTAATTTTATGTATTTGGTACAGGGTCTCACTATGCAGCTTGGACTCTAGTAATCCTCCTGTTTTAGCCTCCTCAATGCTGGGACTACAGGTGTGTGCTACCTGGTCTTGGTGGCCAGTGGAGTGCACCCAGGGCAGGCTGGCACCAAGAAACCTGGGTTCTTGCACTTGCTTAGGCAGCTCTTAGACCACTGAGCTATCTCCATGGCCTCTAAACACCCAACCTTAAGACAGTTCTGTGGTTCCTTTTCTTATGGATTGGTGTCCTGCTCGGTTGGGATGGTCTTGTGTTGTTCGTCTTCACTTGACCCCTTCCCATCCTAGCGATGCCCCCTGTGGCAGTGCCTCATCAGGAATATGGCTTTTATTCCCTGTGGTCAAGGATCATGCTTTTCTAGCACTTGTGGAGAGAAGAGCTTTGGTCTGTTCCCTAATTTTCTCCTTGGATCCAAATACACTTTTGGAACAAGGGTCTCATTTTGTTGACTTGCTCTTCAATCTGCTCTGGAAGGAGCACTGAGGAAGAGAGCTGTTGGGGCTGTGGTCTGGGCTGTCTCCAGCTCAGGAAGGAAGGGCATCTTTCATTATCCCATCTGTCTTGTGCTGTTTTGTTCTAGAAGTGGCTTCCACCATCCAGTGAAAGCTGTTGTGACATGTAGGTGGTCGGAAACAGGTACCATCGCTGGTTTCTGATTTCTACAGCGTAAGTGGGAGAACTGCCAGTCCTCTTGAGTGAAGGTTTTCAGTTTGCGCTGAAGTGACTCAGTTCCAAATAGGATTTCCATTCCAAACATGTCTTTTGTGATTGCCTTTTAGAGAGTGCTGGAGCAGAACAACTGGACAAAAGCAAGTGTCATCAGGTTTACAGTCGGATTGGTAAAGTTTAACTTGAAGCCTCCTTGCCTGCATGGAAGTGGAGAGATACATATTGCTCACAGAATAAAAGAATGGGCTTCAACCTGCCTTTCCACCTTTCCTACAAGTTCCGCTTGCTGCTGCTTTGTACCTTGTGCCTGACGGTGGTTGGGTGGGCCACCAGTAATTACTTTGTTGGTGCTATTCAAGAGATTCCCAAAGCAAAGGACTTCGTGGCTGGTTTCAGTAAAGCTATTATAGCTTTGGGGAAAGAGGAAACACTTTCCAGTGAAGCATCCCAGAAAAAAGCAGAGCTTGACAATTGTCCTTCAGTGTCTCCGAACCTCAGTAAGTGCTTCTTCTCTCCCTCTCTTTTTGTATCTTTAAAAGTACTATGTAAATCTTTTCTTTAACATGGGTACCAAAATCTGAAGTGTATATACCCAGGAAACCAGCATGTAAATTAAGAAAGAGAATCTTACTACATTTTCCCCAGGACCCTACCCTTCTTTCAGTCACTACCCTGGCTTTAAGACTACCATTCATCATTAGATTCTTTCCTGTTCTTAGTGTTCTAGGACTTGAACCCAGAGCCTCTGCACTGAGCTATATCTTCAGCCCCTTTTTTATTTTTTAACTGAACACAGGGTCTTGCTAAGCCACTAAATTGTCCAGGTTAGGCTCGAACTGGTAATCCTCCTGCCTTAGCCTGGGATTATAGGCATGTGCCACCATGACCAGTTATGCTCTTCGTGTTTTTAACCTTATAAACTAGAAATATACATTCTGGACCCTTGTACTTGGCTTCTATTGTTAAACATTATTCTAGTTACATCTCTTCAGTGTGGTTTTATTTTGTTCACTTTCACTGAAGTATGATACACCACTATGTAAATATACCCAGTTTTATTATCCGGTCACTAACATCCCAGCAGCATACAACAATAGGGCCATTGATTTAGGCCCATGGCTCTGTTTGAGGCATCTCCATCCTCCTAGGATCAGAGAGCTTGCTTTCTCACCATTAGGCATGTGGAAAAATACAAGCCCACTAAGACTGCTAGCATATTCTTGTCTAGAAGTACAGTGTCAGAGGCAGTGTTGAAGTTTTGTGTTTGTATTAATACTAATACAGTGTTAAGTATTATCTTTGATGTTTGTTTCTTAAAATCCCATATTTTAATTTCCCCTTGATGTCTTTCCTTTCAACTTCATTCATGTTCATTGGTATTAGTGGATGGAATACATTTGGGAGGAAAAGACTCCACTCTGTCATTTCTTGTGTGTCTTCCTTCTCCAGGTCAGAGTGCTTGGACTTCTCCACCTCTTCCTTGAGCCTGATTAGTACTGACCTCTTTCCAGATTGCCTTTCCTCAATCCATGTCTGCCTGGTCCATTTGAGTTTTGTTGCTAAAAATGTAGCTTAGACGTCTTCCAGGAAACTCTGGACTGCCCTGCAGAGCTCACCTCCAGCTCCATGTGCCAGACAGTTCTCTTGTTGTGCCTGGGTCACAGTGCCCGGCTCATGTTTGTCTTTCCTCCCCAGGAGACACTGGGTGAGCCGGATGTGCATGGTGTGTTGCTTCCCAGCTTTGCCCTGCTTGCCTCTCCCTGGCTAGCAGCTGTGGCCCCACACATGGAGGGTGCTGCTTGTAGGGTGGCCCTGGGTTCTTCCTAGTATGTGGGTTCCTTAAGTTCCAGAACCTTCTGCAAGGCCAGGATCAGGGTATAGCATGGTTTGGCTCTTTAGAGGGCCTCTCACTGGTAATGTCCTCATGTAGCCTCTCCTTGATGTGCCAGTGTGGGAGTATGCACGTGTGTATACCCCTCTGCACATCCCTAGATTGAGATGGAGATCTTGTGTGTCTTTTTATAAGGATATTAATCCCCACAAGTGTGCTTCACACTGATGGATGACCTTAATCTAATCTAGCAAAGGCCCCACCTCCAAGTACCATCACACTGGGGACTAGGGGTTCAACATATGAATTGAGGGGGGCACAGGCTTTAGTCCTTGCATCTTCCTTCCCAAATGAATCACAGTCTTGTACTGTACTCTTCTTGACATGGAAAGGCTAAATAATTATTCTTGAGTCTATATTCCATTCACAAATCATACAAATCAGGATTATATGTAAACCAATTACATGGGCCCCTTGCTCAAAATCTTCATGATGTATTTAAGCAGTAAATTTCTCCATAAAATATACATGAAGCTGGGTGTGGTGGCGCATGCCTATAATCCCAGCATTCTGGGAGGCTGAGGCAAGAGGACTGCAAATTTGGGCCAGTGCAGGCAAATTAATGATGTAACAAGGGTTTGTCTCCAAATGCATGCTAGTAAATGGGATAGATAGTTAGTAAAGTAAGAGTACAACAAGTGGTGGGGGCTTGAGATAAGCCTCTGGCAACATGGTAAGGCTAATGATGAGTTTTATTGCCTGGCCACGCGGGAAACCATCTTAATGGCCACCCTCATCCCTTGGAAGCAGCTCTTGCAGCGTTCCGTCCATGGAACTCCATTTCCTATTGTTTGTTCTCAGGGTCTGACTGCTGGTTTTAGGACTTGCATACAGACTTCCAGGAAGGTTCTTGTAGGCTGGCTCTCTCATGGATGGACATGGTTTCCTGAATGAGGTGCTGCTGGGTGCTGGAGCCTGATGGAAGCACGATGGCCAGGTTAGGGACTGTCACAGGAAGCAAGGAATGGCGACTTATGTATAGGACTGCTTGGCTGGGAAGGCAATAATACTTTTTGTGAGTAGATTAAAGTTTTATAGTCTGACCAGTACATGTGGAGTTAAGAAGAAAAAAAAAAAATGTGGGGAAACAGCTCAGTTCCCTAACTGAACTCCACCTCCCCTCTTATCAGCATGCCCTATTCATTCCTATTAAAAAGAGAAGGGCAGGTGGCTTCAGCCTGACCTTGGAAGCCTTGCATAGGATTGGGTTCCTTCCTTGGGTTTCATCTCAGGCCACTTCTGGGATCCCAGAGCAAAGGCTTTACTGGAAGTGTCAGTGGGAGACTTGTGGTGCTGCAGATTCCTGCTGGATGAGCTGACTTCTCCTCTACATCTGTCTGGTGCTTTGCCTTCAGGGCCTTGTTCAGGTTCTTGATTCTGTGAATGCTCTTGTTTTTTTTTTTTTTTTTTTTTTTCACAAGCTTGAGACTGGACCCTCTTCTGGAATTTTGAGAAGAAATAGAGGCTTGAGCAAATTTGAGGAGAACCATGGCATGGGGCTGATCTCTGCCGGGCCCCAGGGTCACCAGGGCAGAGTGTATGTCCTACCTGTGGATGGGCTTGGAGCAAGAGCTGATTACCTGGCCACAAGGAAATACTTTTACACACCAGTTATATGTATGCTTTTGCCCCAATAATCTTTGTGACATGAGTTCTGTGGCTGAAGTATAATACATGACTGAATGAGACTGTACTATAAGTAAGGGCTCACCTTCGTAGAGTACTCACTTTCACCCATGTTAGCCTCATAGCACTTAATGTACCTGTTTTTCTCTTGTGATTTGCTCCCTGTGTTTATTGCAGGGGGTCAGAGCAAGCTCATTTTCAAAGCAGATCTCTCTTTGCAAGAAGTACAGGCAAAAAATCCCAAGGTGTCCAGAGGCCGGTATCACCCTGAGGAATGTAAGGCTTTGCAGCGGGTTGCCATCCTCATCCCCCACAGGAACAGAGAGAAGCACCTGATGTACCTGCTGGAACATCTGCACCCCTTTCTGCAGAGGCAGCAGCTGGACTATGGCATCTATGTCATCCATCAGGTGAGCCTGAGCCCTGTGCTCCTCCCTCTGAGGGGCCAGGTCTCCTGACCTTTTGTCTGTCTTGGGTGTAAAGTACCTCAGACCATGATTGAGGAGAGAGTTCTATTAATCTTATCCTTGGAAGGAGTAGAGGAACTTTTGTCCCAGAGTATGGAGTCATGGGACCAAATTCTGTGCAATTTTACCTTGCTAAAATGAGCATCAGCAAGAAGTCTGGTTTTAAAGCCCTGCCTTGTTAGCCAGTACCTGCCCTAAGATTGCCCCATCTCCTGGTGTCCTGGTGCCTCTTTCTACATTTGCCGTGTGCTATGAGCGAGCTGTTGGACTTGACTCTCATTACTGAGTGTAACTGTTCTGTGGAGATCTAGACAGGACTTGGCTGAGTACTGAGTGTTAGCAACCCTTGGGTCCTGGGACTCTGCACATTTCTGCCTTTAATTTTGCTGCTATTAATTAGATCAGGTGTGCTAATGTTTAATTTTCACCTTCTTGATTTGGCTTCCAGAAGCATCATTTTAGCCGGAACACGATGTGACTGTAGGCTGCTTTTATTTATTTTAATTAATTAATTAATCAATCTTGCATTTAGGACAGGGTCTACAGGATCTCACTGCACAGATCGGACTCATAGGGATCCTCCTGTTTGCAGCCTCCCAAGTGCTGGGATTACAAGTGCCAGCCACCACGCCTAGTCTCAATCACCATCTCAGCGCGACCCAGGGGTGGGGCTTAGTACGGCATGCCAGAGATTAAACTCCCAGCTCCTACATCTGCCTAAGCAGGTGCTTTAATCCGCTGAGTTCTGTGGCTCAGCACACAGAAGTTTTTTTTTTTTTTTTTTATTGGGTGCTTTTAGAGAGTTTAGTTCTAAGGTCAGTGGAGTTGGTGATTAAAGATCTCTATTTGGTATTAAAATTTATCAAAGGAAAAATAAGACATCCGTTTAAAATATACATGTCTAAGCTTTCCAGAATCACTCTAGGCCATCCAAATAATGTCCCCTCAAATATTTACAAATTCTGAGAATGCAAACAAAATTATTAACTACTTACTATTGGTTATAGCTGGTAATATTTATTTAAAAAAGCTTTTGAGAACTTTTGACAACTCAGAGGTTTATGTCTGCTGACCTGATGGTAAGCTGGGATTCTTGAAAATCAGGATGCTTATTTAATACATCTTTGCTTGTTTCTTGAAGTGAAATTTTATAATTACTTTGCTTTATCATTACTTTTAACTTCATTGATCACAGCTGTGATTTATTTGGTTCACGTTCTTACTTTAGTTGAAACCCCCAAGGCACAGAACCATTTTTATGAATGGAAGTATATGTTGTTTTCTGTTACTCTTTTTTTTGTTTTTCAAATGTATTTAGTACAGGGTCTACAGGGTTTCACTACACAGATCAGACTCATAGTGATCCTCCTGTTTTCAGCCTCCCAAGCGCTGGGATTATAGGCATGTGCTACAATGCCCAGTCTCAATCACTGGCTCAGTTCACTCCAGGGGAAGGGGACTGTATGGCACTCCAAGGAGCGAGCCCTGGTCCCTGTGTCTGCCTAAGCAGGTGCTTTAATCTGCTGAGCTATCTGGCTGGCCCTATCTTTTACTCTTTTCAGGGAAACTGTGGCCATGTTTGAGAGCTGCCTGCTCTTTCATATGATAAACCATGTATTAAACTTGAATTTGATGGAATTTGGTCCAACTAGCCATGAGAAACATGAGTACTGTAAAATCTTCTGCATGCCATACCTTTGGTTATATTACAAGTCAAATTATGTCCTTTTCTCACCTGGTGACAAATCTCCATTCACAAGGTCACTGTAAGGATTAGTTTCTACCAGTAGTGTTGTAACAGAATTTTTATACAGGGATTTCCAAGAGACTTTAGAATAGCTTAGAAATATTCACAACAATCCTGCCTGCTTAAAGGCCCTAGTCCAATGGGCCTTTCTGGCACACTGTTAGTTACATCTTTTTGAAATTCAGCATCAATTTGTTATAGAGGGTGGGTGCTAACAGAAGCAGTAGAACTGGTTGATACAACTGTACTAATAAGGGGTTTTATAGTTTTACATGGAAAAAGTAAAAGTACCTTCCAAAATTTTGAGGTTTTGAAAAACTTTATTGTGGTAATAACACAACATAAGATATACCTTAATAAAATTTAAGTGTATATTATTTTTGATTATTTAACTTTCTTTTTTCTTTCTTTCTTTCATTTGTTCGTTCTTTCCTTCTTTCCCTCTTTCCCTCCCTCCCTCCCTCCCTCCCTCCCTCCCTCCTTCCTTCCTTCCTTCCTTCCTTCCTTTGTGTGTATGGGGGATTGAACCCAGGGTTTTATACTGAACTATATCCCCAGTCTTTTTCTTTTCTGTTTTCTGAGATAGGATCTCACAAAGTTACCAGCGAGGTTGGGCTAGACCTTTGTTATCCTCCTGTCTCAGTCTCTCAGAGTGCTGGGGTTAGAAGCATGCACCACCATGCTTAACTAAAATTTTAATTGTGGCAAAATACACATAAAATTTACCATCTCAGGCAGTTTTTTTCATTTCGTATTTTTATTTTTTACCATCTTAGCCACATTTAAGTGTGAATATTCACAACAGTGTTAAGAAGATTGTGTAGCCAGTCTTCGGAATATTTTGTTCTTGCTGTTCAGAAATTCTATACTATTAACAACTCTCCAGGCTGAAAAGAGTCTCTTACAGATACAGATCATAAGTATGTATGAAGAATAAAGGAAAAAAGGCCTTTTATCATCCTCCCATTTCTTCTCTCAGATCTCAAATGTGTTAACACAAAGAATAGCAACTCCTTAGAGTGGAATGGCAGGACAGCTTAGCACAGGGACTCCTCACACTCTGATTTCTGTTGTCTACAGGCTGGAGCTAAAAAGTTTAATCGAGCCAAACTCTTGAATGTGGGTTATCTCGAAGCTCTCAAGGAAGAGAACTGGGACTGCTTCATATTCCATGATGTGGACCTGGTACCAGAGAATGACTTCAACCTTTACATGTGTGAAGACCAGCCCAAGCACCTGGTGGTTGGCAGGAACAGCACTGGGTACAGGTGAGGTGGCTTAGACTGTGGCCTCTGGTGCCCAAGGCTGCGTGGGACATGGTGTCCAGGTTGTCATAGGAGTGAGAAGTAGGAAAAAATGTTCCATGGTTTTCTTAAAATGCCAAACAGAAATAAGAAAATGTAGCAGGGAAGAGAAGTTCTCTAACAATTTGACAGAGGTTCATACAAGGAAAATAACACAAGAAAGAACATTATCCACATTGCAAATGGCAGCCAGCTCATGGCCCATGTCAGGGACTTTGACAAGCTGTCCCACGTGAGCACAACCTGCCTGACAGATTGGTCTATCCCAACTCCCTCTCTAGGAGGCAATAAAATGGTATCCTTTAGGATAACTTTGCTATAAAGCCCCTTTTTCCAGTCTGCAGCCTCTTTCCAGAGTTCTGGGGCAACCAAGAGGGGTGTAGCTGTCTGCTGGATAGTCTGCTCAGGCATCAGGACACCCAGGACAAGTTTGTTCCTCTCAGAGCCAGCAGGGGAAGTACTGGGTACCAGCCTGCCTTCATGGCTCTATCTTACACTAGCTCCTAGTTGTGCACGATCGAGGGGAGATGGTGACCAAGACAGTGTCTTCATAAGGGGCACTGTGTGTGTCTGTGTGTGCACATATGCCTGCCAGCGTCCCCCCAGCCCTGTCCTGCATGCTAACTGGTGCTCACTAGACTTGGGGCCATGGGACCAGTGTGACCAGGCAGAGGAGTGCCCTGGTGAATGCCAGTGAAGCCCCATTCACATTGTACCTCTGCAAATATACCTGTAAGCACTTAGTGAGGAGGGAGGAGGGAGAGGGCCAGATGGAGAGACAGAGAGGTGTATGGAAGAGTTTGAGGGAGATCTGTAAGACTGCAACATACAGTCCCACCACTGTGCATTCTGTGTGAGTATGAAATGAAATCTGTGTTCGTGCCTCATTGGTCCTGGCTTGCATATTGCTCTTGCAGTGTGTCGTTTTCTCCCTTGGGGTTATTTAAGATAATTCTTGAGTACTATGAACTTTGACTTTTGCCTTGGATACTGACTTGAAACCCACTCTCTGTGTAAACAGTAGGACAGAAACAAACACAGCACCTAGAACAAGCTGTGATGGGTGAGAGCGCAGTCCTTAAGGGCATCCAGGGAAGTGTGGGAAGATGTTAGTAGGGAGGTCGCCCTTGCATCTGGCGAAATCCATGGCATTCCCATCAGAGCTCCCAGGAGAGTTCCAGGCCTGTGAGAGACCCAGCCTGTGCTGATGCATTGGTATCCCAGAGTGAATGTCTGGGAGAAGCAAGTGATGAGGCTGTGCTTGATCTGATAAGAAGTTTGGATTTCTTGCAGAAGGGGCCAGGAACATGGTTCCAGCTGGGGAATGACAGGAGGCAGTTCCATTCAGCTGGTATGTGCAGAATTGGGTGGAGCAAGTCGGGCTGAGGCTGAGGCAATGGATGCCACATGCCTGAGTCAGGGCAGGGGCTGTGGGCTGGAGGGCAGGGAGAGAATCACAAGTGTTTCTCTTTGAGGGAACATGATTTTTGGCTCAGAATCTTATCATCTAGTGGTTTTGTTTTCTGGGTATTTTTGAGCCACATCTGCATTGAAGCAAACACCATACCATGGCCAGGTACCTTTTCTCAGAAGCAGTAACGATCTTCTCATTGATTATGTAAAATTAATAAAATGTCATAGAACATCTGTACTTCAGCCACTTTCCAAGATCAACTTTCCATTAAATTTTCTTAAACTTTCCATTGCCAGGTACTTTCTGCACCATCACACATGGTTGTTGAATGAAAAGCTGATATTCTCGGTTGTATCTGTTTTAATTACTTTTCTGCAGTACCGGATACCTATAAGTGAAGAGAGGGACCGTTTACTTCTGCTCCTAGTTTGTAGAGGTTTTGGTCCATACTTGGCTGTCTCCAAGGCAAGGCAGCCTGGCAGAGGGGCACCACAGAGGAGAAATAGTCCATGGTAAAGTAGTCAGGAGAAAGCAGAGCAGCAGGAGCAAGCAGAAAGCAGTGGCCCCAAGCCTGCCTGCCAGCTTTTCATTTATATTCCATCCAGGCTATAAGTCTATTGATGGATGTCACTGATACTGAGGGTGGGGCTTCCATTGCCCATCCTCTTAATCCCAGCATCACACCCTTAATTCACATTCACACATTGTAACCTGGCCATCTTCAAAACTCCCTGCCTATGACTATGAGGCCTTGTGGGGACATCAAGATACAAATCCTAACAGTATCTTTGTATTAAGCTGAAGATTAGAAAGTTTTGTTCTTGGGTGTTCCTGTTAGGAAGTGATTTTAGTTTGTCCTTTGCTGTCACCATTGTGGGTGCTACATAGGCTAATGAAACAGTCCTTGCATGAATCTTGTAGTTCTAACTTGCTAATGCATATAGTCTGCTATTTCTTTTACAATGAGACATGAGAAGGTCTTTGTTTCCTCTGAGTAACTGACAGGTCTTCTTAATGTGAATTGGCTGATTGAATGTGTCTTGCTTTCTGATCTGGATCCAACAAGCACTGAGCCAAAACTCTCTTACTAGCAGATCAGAGTGCCAGTGTATTTTCTACCTTCATCTTCTATTCTGATTAAGTTTTCTCTGTTTCTTGTTTGCCATTTCTATTGATCTGTTTTCCAGTATGTGTCGTGTAGGCTACTCCGCTTTAATGGCTGGGGAGAGCTACGGAAAGTATTGTCACAGGTTCCCTCTCACCGGTGGCTGGCAAGTTCAGGTGCAGGCAGCCCCTTGCTGGTAACTGTGTGGCACTGTCCCACCACAGAGCATGGCTTTGCTGTCAGAGCAGCTGATGAGTATAAGTGCAAGAGATGTTTTCAGTTGCCACATATGTAGGGGAAAGAAGGTAAAGTGACAAGCTGCGTGTGTCTAGGGGCTGACTAAACCAGAAGTAAATCTTAATTATTATGGTCTGTAGGCCAGTGCTAAAGCTCCAGGTACACCTGTGCAGGTTTTACTTGAGTTCCTTTGACACCGCTTGCTTTGGACAGGACACTACTGTTATTTTATAAGTGTACCTCACCCCAGGCCGATAGGCCTTTAAAAATACATAAGCCGGATCCAGGGACAATTAAATATTTATACTTTTCCAGGTAGGAGCAAAATCCAAAAGCAAAGATGGTCAATAAATGTGGAGATAGCTGCCACATACCAGGCAACTGGGAACCAGGAGTTCCTTAACTGTTAAGGCCCCAGCCTCGCGTCTTGTTATTCCCTACTCCAGCAAAGCTGGTCTCCAGTGGTCTTCTCACAGCCCTGTGCTTTTTATCACCAGAGTCTGGGCTACCAGGAGAGCACCTATTTTTCTGTTTCTCTGAATCCTTCTAGGCCCCGCTTCTCCCTACATGGTAGCAACTCCTTTGTCATACCCTGGGGAAGACTGCCTATCTTGTTCGATCATGACCTCCCGGAGACCAGGGACTCAGCCAAGGGTCTGTGCATGCTGATAATGGGAGCAGTGGAGCCTTCCGAACTCCCAGCCTGGTTCTCTGTGGAGCCTGCTCATTAGTGCTTGGCTGGTTGTGTCTGGGTAGTGGTTTTACTCGTGGATCCTGATGAAGCTGCTTTCCTGGGTAGTTAAGAACCCCTCCCTGTCAAACAGTCTGATAACAGTGGCTGTAAGCTACTCCTACTAGGTGCCTTGGTTGGTGATAGCCGCCTTCTAAGTGCTTTACTTCTCTTTGTTTAAAGTTATAAAGATGCCATTTCCCCAAATTTTAGGTTAGAGGTATATAACGAAATCCGTTTATATTATGGGCCAAAAGGGTTTCCATCCATACCCAGAACATAGAAATAAGCAGCTGAACTACAGGTTAGCTTTTTGGATATGACTTGTTAGATGGTAATGGTCTACATGTTTATCTTTCTTTTTCATGTTTCTTGTTATGTGGAGAACAGCAGTGTGTAATTGGTCCTGGAATACTTTGAATTAAGCTTTAATTAAGATTAGAAGGGGCCGGGGAGATGGCTCAGTGGAATAAGCACTTCCCTGGCAAGTGCAAGGGCCTGGGTTCAATCCCTGCTTCTGAAAAAAAAAAAAAAAAAAAAAAGATTGGTGATCCTAAATATTCTCATCTCTTTTCCTGTTATTTCAGTTGGTTCTACAGGATTTAACCCCATGGCTCTACCGTTTGAGCTCTTCTCTTCTCATCCACCAGATTGTTTTTGAGTGATTTCTCCTATTCTTGTGTGTCTCAAGTATAATCTGTTGCTGGCTTATTTCCAAACCATCGTCTGTAGTTGCTCTTATGAGCTTCTCTGTATTCTTTTCCTACTGAGAAAGCTCCAGGAGAAAAATCTCAAATTGAACTTAACACATGGTTTTCTGTGTTCCTCTCAAAAACAAATTATTGGCCTGGGGAGATGGCTCAGTAGAATAAGGACTTGCCTGGCAAGCATAGGGTCCAGTGTTCAATCCCTGGTACCGCCAAAAAAAAAAAAAAAAAAAAGTTTGTCTTTCTCAAAACCAAATTATCATTCTGTATACTGCATATAAATGGCACAATTGTCTAATTGCTCAATCCAAAAACCTCAGGAGTGGTGGCTGGGTTTTCTAGGAAGTGGACTCTAAGAAAGATTTGCCGTGAGTGTACCTACAGAGCACACCAGGGGCTTTCTGTTCCTCTGGAGCCTTCGTTTCCCTAAAGAGTGAATGTTAAGGAGCAATGTGTTCACCATGACATTCATTCCCACTGAATCTGGCTGCAACTTCTGGAGCCTTCTTAACCTGTCCTCCTGGCAACTGTCACCATTGGCTGGGTTGGTACATAAGGTGAAGTCAGTCACCCAGATCTGATGCTGTGGTGCTCATCCACACCTCTGCACCTAATCATTGCTAATACCACCTGGGTGGCCACTGGGCCAGTGAGCAGAGGTGAGCATTGCCTGGACAGAGGAACAAAGGCAAGACATTGGGCCAGGGGCTCTGGGAGGTAAACGTCAGGCAGTGGAGAGTGTGTGGAAGTCATGGTTCTGCAGTGTTCTAAAGCGCCTGCCCCCAGATCAGAGACCTCTGAAGAGTGCGTGCAGAAGAAAAGGGCTTTGCCTTGATGTTCTTACCTTTTTTCTCTTCTCTTCTGCTCCAGGTTACGTTATAGTGGATATTTTGGGGGTGTTACTGCCCTAACCAGAGAGCAGTTTTTCAAGGTGAATGGATTCTCTAACAACTACTGGGGATGGGGAGGCGAAGACGATGACCTCAGACTCAGGTGAACAAAAGAGAAAGGTTCCTTCACAGGGCTCTGCTATTAGTGGTGGCTCTGGAAACCGGTGTTAATGTATAGTCCCTGTAGGCACCAGCCTGGTGGGTCCCAAGGGGGCAGAGTATGAAGGAAGAGACCCAAATTATTGTTCAGCAGGGGTCGTTTAGAAGTGATGGGAGGCTTTCTGTTCCTGTATTTGGAGTGCAAAAGTTTTGGTAGAAGCCTCTGAGGCTCATCAGTGGGGAGGATTTGCCAAGGTAAGGTCTCACCCGTAGATGAGGAACTCCAGGCCGTGCCTCAGGGTACCTGTGAACCTGACACAGAGAAGGGACTATTAAAGCCTGATGCTTTTTCTCAGACCCAGAGACCCTGGCACTATGCCCAGCATGGTTTTCAGAGCAGATAATGGCAGCAGCCTCTGAGGACATCCTTTCCCACCTGCTGTGGAGGCAGCTGCTGGCCAGGCTCTCGGCTTTACCTCAGATTCACCAGGACTGCTTTCTGCTTTGGAGGGCTTAAGGGTATATGGCCAGAATGTCTGGCCTCCTCCCTCAACCTCTTCCCCTGAACTTGGGCTGGGGGGCATGGCAGATGGTTACAGGTACCCCAGCTCCCAGAAATCAGTCATTATTTAAGAGCCTACTGCTGGTATGATAGACATGGAATCACTGGATCTTCCCAGCTGCCCGGAAACTTCTCCCTTCCTCCTGTTGGTACCTCTTGCCAAGGAAATTTCTAAGCAGGGGTTTTCAGTGAGCCTCATGTTCAACTATCAGAAGTTTCCAATTGCTTTGGTGTGAAGAAGTCAAATGTTCCATGCTGGTCTTGTTACCAAGCCTAAGCTGAGAGGCTCTGGAGTGTTTCTGGCAGGAGAGGGTAGCTTTCCCTGACCGATGGCTTCACATGACCAGCCAAGCAGCAGCCTCTGTGACCACGGCTTATGAACTGGACACAGGTTGCCTGCTCCATTGGTTTCAGGAAGGAGCAACAAGGGCTTGAGGTAACCAGCACCCACCTCCTCCCCCAAATCCACCTCATTGCCCAGGTGGGATGGTTAGTAGACTTGTGCATTATCTGTTTTCACTCTTATCCTGCTACTCCTGAGCTTCAAGGTAGAGGGGAGCCCCAAGCTTTAGTTTTATTTGATAAGAACAGCAGAGCCTTCCAGATGATTTTCAGCGAATGTTCTGGCTGTCAGAATGATTTGGCCATGAAAGTTGATTGAGATTCACTGACTGATGTTACCTCCCCACTTCCTGGCTGTCGTTTAAAGTACTTCTGTTTGCAAGCATGCGCCTTGTGACTTAGGTAATACTTGAGTCTTTCAAAGCAACTCTGTGTCTCCATTGACGTTCTACAGATGTGGAGAATGAGATTGCAACAGTGAACTGACTTACTGAGGTTATAAACAAGAGCCTAGATAGAGTTGAACCCACATCTGAGGCTTTAAAGCTCATAACCCCAAATAAATAATCCTTTCTTTGCTAAAAAAAAAGGCAGTGCTAAGTACATTAGAGATCCTAAGAGATTTGACTGTTATATTCCTCAGCATGTATTCAAATACTAGATATATTATCAGGTATTTTAAAAGTGACTATATACTGCTTCTCAGCCTTTTGGCTAAGATCAAATGTAATATCTGTTCTTATTAGTTCAAAAAGTGACTATCAATTGACACATCCCTATGGCACTTAAGTTGTAAATGATAAATGTGATTCTTTTATGGGTTTATTGCCTGAGGTCTCACCAGTATAAGAGAGTCTCAACTTTTATGATTTTTTTTTTCATTTTCTTTTTTGATACCCAAGCAAAGTGAGGGTGTGCGAGCTTTTGCAGGTGATTCTTTTTAAGTGCCCACTGTTAGGTAAGTGGAATAGATTCAGTTTTTAATCTCTTCTGATGTTTTTCTAGGGTTCAGCTTCACCGAATGAAAATATCCAGGCCAAAGCCTGAAGTGGGTAAATACACAATGATTTTCCACACTAGAGACAGAGGCAACGAGGTGAACATGGAAAGGTAAGGCCCTGGGTTCGAGTGTCTGGCAACTTGCCACCTAGACCCTACTGTCAGTTGTGCTGAATTGCATCAGATACGTAAATTGCTTTTATTGAAAGCTTTTTATGAAAGAAAACTTCAAAGGGCAACAAATAGTGCGTGAGAGAGTAGTGCATGGACACTGCCTTGTCTTCCTTCTTTTCTGCCCTGCTAGATTATTTAGCAATAAATAAAAAATGCCATAAATCTTCTATGGAAATCCTTGAGTATGAACCATTAATATGTAAGAACTCTTCTGAGAAGAACTGGAGTTCCATTATTATACCTGACATAAAATTTCAACCCTTCCTCAATATCATTAGCTGTCGGACTTCCCTGATTATCTCATAAGTGCTTTAAAAACAGAACAGTTGGTTTGCTCAGATGAGTATATAGATGGGGTCTGCCCTACATCTGGATGACCTTTTTAAATCTAAACACTCCCCCGGCCCTTTTTCCCTCACAATTTACTTGATAACCACACCAGGTCATTTGTTCAATAGAATTTCTTGCCTTATGAATGTTTGCCAATTGCATCCTGGTAGTATGATTAAATGTCTTACCATGACTTTTCTGAAAGTTGTTTTATAAAATGGGAGTTGATTTCTGCAAGCTTAAGCGGGTTCTGGGTATTGTCTTTGGGCAGAAACACTTCAACGATGTTGTTGTTTCCCTCCTCTTGTGTCACCACAGGAGCAGTTACTGTCTGAGAGTGTATCTGTTGAGGTGCTCAGGTAAATCTGGGGGTTCAGGTGTTGTCAGCCTGATCCACTCATCATGAGATTCCTCATCTGTTTTTCACCTAATGATGTTTAGCACTCACTGATGCTCTTTATCTAACATTTATTAATCATCCATACATGTATTATTTAATGACAGTTAATTCTGTCATTACTTCTTTGCTCATTATATTTTTTCTGCACAAAGAAGAATCTGTCCCTTTTTTCCATTCTTGAATACCCTAGGGTGTAGTTTTCATCAGAAAGGGAGGGTAAAGGGAAAGAATCAAGCACTGATTTGTCATTTTTCAGAATAATGAGCCAGTGTTGCCTGGCATCTTTCAGGATGTAGTTAATGCTCTCTTTGATACTCATGTTGTCTCATCTTTGGCCAATGGAACCTTCTCGTTGGCTCCTGAATCCTTTCAACATAGCCACAGTAGTCTTTGAGAGCTTCCTGTCATATGCTCTGGCCCCAGGAATTGGCCCCTTTACTGAGCAGTTCTGGAAGATAAGCCAGTTTTTTTCTGTGGCTCTAATTAAAGAATATTTCTTTGTTCTGAGTTTTCCTCTGAATTTTTCGACAGTAATGAAGAGCTTAGAGCTTCTTTGTGAAGAGTCTGACATCCCAACAAACAGCTCTTTTCTGTTTTTGCAATCTTTGTCTATAAGCGTGCTTTTCTATCTTTAAATTTTAAAAATCCTTGAATAATTACAAAAGAATACTTACAAATTATAGGAGGGCGATTCTTTTTTTTTTTTTTTTTTTTTTTTTTTTGGTGGTACTGGAGATTGAACCCAGGACCCCGCACTTGCCAGGCAAGAGGAGGGCGATTCTTGATATGCCATCCCCCATGGGTGTTCATGACCCATGTGGCCTCCTTAAACCCATTTCCTCCCCTCCTATCCCACTCTGCTCCAGGTCACACTTTCCTGATTTTTTGTAATAAATATGTATGATAATAATTGTTTTTATTGTTTCTTATTTTCCCTTATATTTGAATCCCTAGACAAAAGAGTGCTTAGTTTTGCATGTTTCAACTTGATGTAAGTGCAGTCACACTGCGCCTTGTCCTCTGGCATTATTTAGCTTATGCTTCTCCTCTGGCATTATGCTTCCTCGAGCCATCAGTGTTTTCACTGCTCAGATCCCAGAGACCTGTTCCTTTCAGGGCTCCCTCCTCTGCACACTTTCCTTGCTGCCCGTGCTTTGGTGACATACCAATGCATCCTGACCATGTGTGCGTCTGGGTGCCTTGCCTGTGTCTCTCCGCTGAAGCGTCTCACCTTCTTCACCTAGTGACTTTGGTTTCTTCTAAGCCTAACTGGAATTGACCTATTCTTTTGGCCTTCCAGCCTCCCCCAGGGCCTTTCATTCATCCTTTTCTATATACAACCTCAAGGTTTTTTAGACTCTTGTTAAAGCTGTGTGTGCTCCCACCTGCACACGCAGAACTCCCCTGACAGTGCTGGAGGGTTCAGAGATCCCCTGAAACCCACCCAAGGAGCTAGAAGTGGCAGGTGACATCCGTCCTGTTGTATCAGGCTACTTGGCCTTCCTCCGACCTGCAGCTGGGGACACTGATGATGATGACTCTCACCATTGTTCCCCACAATTGATCTTACATGGACACATGAGCACACACCTGCTATTACTGTCTATTACATGCAGTGGAGAAAGCAAGTGATTATTTTGCTGTAAGAAACCCAACAGATGCAATAATTTATAACATTTGTATACTTAATTTATATACTTTTGTTCCACTTTGGGGCGAGGCGAAAAGCAAAGGAGGCATACACAGATCCTTGTTTTGTCATTCACACTTGCTTTTTTTTTTTTTTTTTTAATATTTAGGATGAAGCTCTTGCACCAGGTGTCACGGGTCTGGAGAACAGATGGCTTGACGAGTTGCAATTATAAATTATTGTCCGTGGAACACAATCCTTTATATATCAACATCACAGTAGATTTCTGGGTTGGTGCGTGACCCTGAATCTTTTGGCATTTGAAGAGCTGATTGCAATAATTTTGGCCTAGAGATGTTTCCTAGTAACACACATTAAGAACTTGGTACAGCCAATTACTGAGATGAATGTTTCCTTTTTGTATTTTCTTAGCCGAGCTCCTGGTGATATGGAATGTAAAACCATTGTAACGATACAGGTTTCTTAGTTGTTTTGATCATTTAGGGTTAAATATTGTAATAGATACTTGAAGGACAGTATAAAAAGACTTGGAAGATATCATGATGGCTACCTGAAAACTCTGGTTGGAAGAGAGTATTTTAAGTTTGAAGTGATGCATTATGACATAAAAACTCATAGGAAACCAGATTGCTGAATGTCTCAGAGAACTGGAATTGTTCTCCTCCAAGCAAAAAAGGTACGAAGATGTAATTTCCGTTATTCATTTATCCTGCATGGGGATCTGTGAAATGTTGACCCTGCGTGAGAAGGAAGAGAAAGCTGTGGAAGACGCTGTGAATTTAGGAATGAAGAGGTGGAGGGGGCAGGAGTGAGATGAGCTGCCTCTGTGCCGTGCTGGTCTATGGCTGTGGATGCCACCTGCCCAGATGCACTTTCCAGGAATCACCCAGCCAACAGCGCATCAGCTACTAGTTTTTAAAGCATTTTATACCATGATTTTATACATGTAGGATATGATGTAGCAGTTTACAGATTACATAATAACTAATGATACATCTAGAAAGTACCTCTGTAGTAAAATATGAAAAAGCATCAGGTATTCAGTCTTGTTTTTTTACTGTCATCGGAGGCTACAGGTGTATTCATTTCAACACCCACTATTTCAAACAGCTTAAAAATAGAACAAATAAATTTAAAACCTCCCTCTTTCATCCTCTGTTCCTTTCCCTTTGCTTCTGTGTGACTTCCTGCATCACTAGCCCCAGGAGGTTACTCTGCCTCTTGTTCCTGGGATTTCTCCACCTTGTTGTTCCCTCCATCCTTTTGGGCCACCTCCCTTCCCATAATCAACAGTAGGAACAGCAGGGTGACCTTGGGGGTGCACCTAGTTTGGACATGGGACAGACAGGAGTGGGGCTGGCTGTTGGGGGAACCTGGGGTTGGAAACTTGATTTGGGATGGTGGTGGGGCCGTGGCACTGACTTGGGCAGTGGTAGTGTTTTGGGAGAGAAGCCACCAGTCCTTTGAGCTTCTTGGGGAAGTGGAAGGGCATCTGGGTGAGAATTAAAGGAAGGTCATTGGAGCCATTCTATTACTGCATTGGAGCAGCAGTACACATGTTCTGTTTACTTGGGAGAATGAATGGACACATCAATGAGGTAGGAATGGATGTTCTTAAGTGAGTATTATAAGGTACCTGCGTCCCAGGAGCCCTCAAGCCAGTGTCATCACATGGTTCCCTCCCTTAATAAAACCTTAATATAAGCCTTAATATGAATGGTGCCAGCCAATCAGGGCAAACAAAAGAGGGAAGGGACAGGTTAGAAGCATCCAAGAAAAACAAGTAACAGTCACCACCCAAGTGGAGAAGGAGAATTTGAAAGGAAAATACATTTTATAGCTACAATGACTTTATCTAAGGGCTAGCTTGGTTTATATTTCTTTCAGGCCAGGGAGTAAACAATAAAAATCTTTATTGAGCAAAACAGTACTAATTGTTGCCCCCCCCCCACCAACCTCTAAAGGAGTGCCATTCTCAGCAGACTTGTGAACAAGGGATAGTAAAGGGAGCCTTCCTCTCTCCTTCCCCCTCTTTTCTGAAGAACTTTTCTCTGGCACTATTCTGCCCCATTCCCTTAATTATTAAGGTGTTAAGAGCCTGCAATGCAGAGGCAGTGTGTTCCGTCTGGCTGGGGAGAACAATGGAATGTAATGAAGTGTGCAGAGAATTTGAGGACTTGTATTTGGGAACCCGGTTTCTCAGTGGAAGTATATAGCTAATGCCATGTGAAAACTCCACAATTTTGCTTATTGTTTATTAATAAGTTGCACATTTAAAAAAATGTTGGAAACTACTGAATGATGCCTTTTCCTTTTCTTCAGAAAAGTTTGGTTTCACCCAAGAGAATGACTTATAAAACTTCTTCAGGTGGAAGATAGTTTTTTAAGAACTTTATGCCACCTGTGCCACTTGACTGGTGGTGGTGGTGGTGGTGGGATGTTCCCACTCATTGGCTGGCTGGCTGGTGCCTGTGGCACCTGCGCAGTAGTTGTCTCCACCCTTCTTGTTCTCACAGCTGGGCTGTGGAGTTTTGCTTCAAAGGAGCTGTGCTGATCCTAGTTCCTACCTTTTATGGTTTTTTTCATAGTTAATTGCACAAAGAAGCATTTTCCATATTGTGGAGGTGCTTTTGTGGGCTATGATTATACACGGGTGGAGATGATTTGGACATCATAATCACCCATCACAAAATTCTGCTAAAGTTTTTATTGCTTTTTTCCTCACTTGTGCTAGCACTCATTTTTACGGTGCTTTATGGATTGTAACATTTCTCTGCACAGTTTGTGAACACTGAAGACGCTTGAGATAAGAGGCACAGATGAGGAAGTGGAGCGTCAGGACAGATGGGTTATTGCCGGAAGTCCCACAGCTGGTAAATGGAGCACCATGGCCAAACTCAGGTCTTTTGATGTCCAGCCTGTTCTATCATGGTGTCTCCATAAGCTGCTTGTTTGAGGTGGTTTTCTTGGGTTTATATCCCTGTCCTCGCTTCTACAGAGGTTTAGTATCTTCAGGACCCTAAGAAGTCCACTCAGGTCCTCATCTGGTCTCTTCCAACTTGTTTCCAGACTCCCTTCCTACTTAATCTCTCTGTAGCTCCTTTGATTTCATGTAAGTCCCAGGTCAGTAATTTCCTTGGGAGCCCCACAGTGCTTTGTGAGTGGACTCTTGGGGGAATGGATGACTTTTCTGCTATACGTGAAGATTCTCACTGCATCTAACTCCCTGTCAAGAACCGTTAACCTGTCCTACATGATGGAACATATTTAGGTTCATGTGTAAGTTTTTCACTCAAATATTTTAAAGTGTTGCCACTGTGTGTGTGTGTGTGTGTGTGTGTGTGTGTGTGTAGTTGTCTTATACCTGCTGAGAGGGTATGATAGGACCCAAAGTGTACAAATGGGAGTGTCTCCTCAGTTCTACCCCCAGAAAGCACATCTGTGTAGGTAAATGCTCCATTGTTCTACTGACAGTTGAGAATTCAACAACCTCTGAGGGTCCATATAGGAAAGGAAAAGAAGGAGCAAATGGGAATGTGTGTGTGTGTGTGTGTGTGTGTGTGTGTGTGTGTGTGTTTGCCACTTAGAAGAGAGGTTGGTGATGGGTAGGGCATAAAATAATTAAATCTGGGCCTGAGAGATAGTTCAGCAGTCTAAGTGCCTGCCTGGCATATTCAAGGACTTGGGTTTGATCCCTGGTACTGTCTGCTGTGCTGGCCTGCACTCAGCCATCTTCTGAAACTGGGTGTGGTGGTGCACACCTGTAATCCCAGCACTGGGGAAGCTGAGACAGGAGGATCACTATGAGTCTGAGCTTCATACTGAGACCCTGTACCAAATATATGAATTTAAAAAATTGAATCCTTGCTGTGTATCATTTTTCCTGTCTTGAAATTTTCTAATTTTAACTGTCTAATAGGTGTGTGTGTGTGTGTGTGTGTGTGTGTGCATGCACACGTGTGCTGCAAAGAGAAAATAGATTCAAGTTAACTTAAAGTTGGTAATAGGAGGAAGTGAGGTTTGCATCTGATCTCTCTTGACATGAATATTGTGCCAACCCCCTCAGATATTATAGTTTAAGGGAAATGAATTTCCCTGCAAAGACAGCAAGGGCAGAATCACATTTTATTGCAGAGATTTTAGAACCAATATAGAGAACTTGAGATCTATTCATTAAGATGCCTTATCTTGATGACTTCAATTCTGCTATCAATCATAAGTTTTCCTGGAAAGTAATTACTCATAGCTATTGTTTGATGCCCAGTAAATTTGAACCCATGTAAGGGTCATTAAGGTTATTACAATAAACCAAAGCAAGATAGCATGAGATGGTATGTTCCCATGGGTTGGGGCCAATGGATTTATGGTGCATCTACCTGTCAGGTATCTTAAAGATTATTAGCCGTGCTGATTCTCACTTCACATAGCTTACTGATCCTCTCAGTTCTGTGTGGGGATAGATCCATTTTTTTCTAAAGAAAGCTCCAAGAAAGTAAGCAGCTTTTCAAAGTTATGTAGAGCCAGGATCTAAGGAAATAGTGTCTGTTCGGTACTAGATGCTGCAGAAAGCCAGGGCAAGGCTGTGACTGGGGATCTTACTAAGTTCATACCCATTTGGAGCAGAATTTGCACCTGGGAATGATGATCCCAAGGCTCTAGGTAGGAAGGTAATTGGGGATGGAGAAGCCCTTTCTCTGTAGGAAATTAGATAATATGACTTGAGCAGCCGCTGGGCCATCTGACCTCACAACATCTCTTGCCTGCTACTATCAAGAAAAACCCAACAAAGATTGAGGGGTTGGAGGTGGGTTGTCACTTAGCATGAATTCATTTTCAAAGGCTTTACAGAGATCTAGTCACAGGGAGAAGGAAGGGAATTTTGTAAGCAGAGAGCATTATGGAGCATGAAGCTCTGGGAGAGAGGGCAGCTGTGGGATGGGGGCGGGAATTAGTTAAGAGCATGCGGGCACTGGGACACCTGGCTAGTGTGAAAGCAGAAGGCACCAGATGTGTGCGGGAGTGTGAAACGACCAAGCTCCCGCCCTCTCCAGAAGGACCACAAGAGAGCATTCTCACCCAAGTGCTGGGGCCATGTCTCCTCATAGGCCAAGGCACCTTGATCCTGGAGAGACAAGGTGAGGCCAGGCTGGCGGAAGCTGCTTTGGCCACCTACGTTGAGGACTGCGGATCATGCTCCTGCCCCTGCTTGGCCACCAGTGCCTCTGGGCAATGTGCCCTCCACTCTTCCTCAGCCCTCTTCTGCCCAAGCTCAGCCTTGTATACAGAAGCTGGTGGGGCATGGGCGGGGGTGCTGTGTTTTTACTGGCTGTCCTCCAGATCAAGCACATTTTCTTCATTGGGCCATTGATGGCAGAGGTGTTTGCACTGCCTCTGAGAGCAGGAGGAAAATCATTTTCCAGGGCAAGTGCGACAGGAGTGGAAGGTAAGAGCAAACAAGATTCCCATCATTGTACTGGGCAGCAGGGTGAGGCAGCATCCCACGGGAAGCCACACCCAGTACCTGCAGTTTTTCTTCTTCAATTTCAGTCCCACAAACTGGGTTCTCCTGTTGGAAAATCCATGCTGTTAGACTCATGCAGGAGCAGGCATGACACTGGTAAAGACAAGAGTATAAACATATTTTAAAACCCTCTTTATTTATAAGAGTAAGCAAGCAAATGTTGAGTTAGAACTTCTTTTGGAATCTAAAGAAGAAACAGTCTAGAAGAGAAATATTTTGAAGCAAACAAAAATCTCCATAAGTCACTCATTTTAAAGACTGGTGTACATGTTGGTTATTTGAAAGATGTTTCACATCAAGACAATTCAGGACAAAGACTGAATAAATATATAATAGGTTCCTCTTGTGTACCCAAGTACACATATCTTTTCATTTTCTTTTTCTGTGGTACTGGGGATTGAACCAAGGCCCTTTGCATGAAGCTGTATCCCCTGACCTTTTTATTTTATTTTGAGAAATGATGTCCTTAATTTCCCTTTCTTTCTTTCTT